CCGCCCCCGCGTCCATGGCCCTGTTTGGATACTCTAGCACAGCTAGAGGTTAAAGTTAGTTTCCAGCTCAGGACTAGCTCTGAACTAACTCTAGCCTAAGAGATGTTTGGATACAAGGGTTAAAATGATAATAAATGTGCTTTCCAAATCATTGGTGTGGGTGAAAGTATAGAGAAAACAGTGGACCCCACCTCAAATAGCTCCAACTAGCCCAAATAATCACCTCTTTGGGGGATAGTTTTTTAGGGTGGGTTAGTTGCAAATAACCCACTCTAGCCCTCCTGTTTGGCTACTTTAGAACTAGTTGAGCTCCAACTAGCCCAAACAGGCTCTAACCCATAGATCCAAACAGGGCCCATGTAAACCTGTCTCCATTACGCTCCTCCAATTTCATTTTCGAAACATGCATGCGCCCTTTGTCGGTTTGAAAATCGAAATTTTCTTGGCTCCAGTAGCTACATCTTGATATGAACCCACTAGCCAATGATGTCCTCATCACATCTCTTGGGTTTGGGCTGGGGTACCACTGCACAGGAGGCATCAGGCTTGCTGCGTGCACAGCAAGGTGGTTACCACACAGTACTGACTACCCCTATCCTACGTCGTAGTACAGTACAGTAGGACACATGGTGGTTGAAGGCAGGTGCCAGAGACATTCGTTCTACACGTACGTACGGAGTGTGCTGGTTATTCTGGACGTACGTATTTATTTATTCATTTTATATAGAATGGTTGGAGGAGCCAGTGGCTTCCTACTACGGTCATGTTTAGTTTCACCGAAATACAAAATTTAGCAAGATTTTCTTCGGTTCAAACAATTTTAAAGAAACCTAAATGTACATTGAAATCAAAAACTAATCACCATTTAAGTTTGGAATTCTTTAGACAGTTTTATGTTTTATCTGACGATTTTCAGCCCTTAATTAATCAACAATTAGATAATTATTACCAAATACAGCGTCTACGGTATTCCGGCGACGCCGATTCCGGACGCTAACTAAACGCGGCCTACTACAAGTACGGCTGGCAGTGTTTCTTCGGTTCCAGACAATTTTAAAAGAAACCTATATGTACGGCCAGCGGTAGGTATCACCATTTAAGTTTGGAATTCTTCTGGTCAGTTTTATGTTTTATCTGATGATTTTCAGTAATACAATGGCGTACGTATCGGTTAATAAAGTCCTAAAATAATAGGTAAACAATTGTCCTTCAGGAACTACCCTAACACGGCTGCTCCGATGGAGTAGAACAAACTGTCAAATTAAGAGAAGAAAATGTTAAAAAAGCACTACTTCAGTAGTACATTTTTATTGAACAAATAATATTTTTCTCTCACAACAAATCAACATAAGTATCAGCATAAGCCAAATTTCAGCGAAACGAACAGGTGTTGTTGGGCTCGAGAACAAGTCACGAGTGTATATCCGCAATGGTATGTGTCGGTGTTTCGAGTTACCACCGACGAGTAAATTTCTAGTATTGCGCGTCTGGCTCGGATGGTGTGCTTAGAGGACACGAGGTTTATACTGGTTCGAGCAGAAAGTCCCTACGTCCAGTTCGTCGCTGCTGCTCGTGTTACCGGCACTGAAAGTTTATAGTAGGGGTTACAAACGAGCGAGAGAGGGACATGTCCCAAGTCTCTGTTGTGCGTGTGCTCCTAAGGCGTGTTAGGACGTGTATTTTTATATCTACAGCCGTGTAGAGTGATCAACCACTCTCTTTCTGGGACGTCCTGCTTTCCTTTTTATAGACGAAGGGGAAGAGCAGGTTACACTGAGAGAAAAGAGGGAGAAGAGGCAAGGAGAGGAAGGCTTTGAGGACCGCCGGGCATTTCTTTTCCTTTGTGCGGGTCCCGCCGACACTGCAGATGGTGACAGGGACAGCTCCACGCCGGACGCCTGTTCATCGCTGATGCCACGCCCTGGCGTTGTCAGCGGGTCGTGACGTCCCATTCCGCCCCGGCGGGTGACACGGCGAACCAGCGTGCTGGTCAGTGGCCGTACAGGGAGTAGGCAGCATAGTGACCACGCGTCCGTCACTGTTGGTGATGTGAGTTCCCTGGAGTGACATGTCGCAGGCACGGGTCATATTGAGATGTGCCCGCTTCCTGCACGATGCCAGATGTTTGACCTTGGGCTGTACTTTTCTGGCCCGTAGTGGTTGGCGACGGTATGGGCTTTCGTCATGAGCCGCACCTGAGGGGTCGGGCGAGACGGAGCCCCCGACCCAGAGGTCGGGCGAGGCGGAGTCCGTGGCCTCGGGGTAGGGCGAGGCGGAGCCCGTCCCCAAGGGTCGGGCGAGGCGGAGCCTGTGGTCTCGGGGTCGGGCGAGACGGAGCCCGCCCCCAAAGGTCGGGCGAGGCGGAGCCTGCGCACCTAGGGCGGTTGGAGCTGTAGTTGCGCTCTTGACTGATCGGACGAATCAATGTTGATGACCATTAGCTCCTCCTCTTCGGGTATCCTCATATTGGTCCCCGACAGTATGCATCCAAATAAAAAAGAAAAAAAAAGTCATCAGTCTTGACTCATGACTGATGAGCGAGGTAGTAGGATTGTACGTACTCCTACGCAGTCTTCTGGAAAAAAAAACGAGGGGAAAATAAATAAAGCTGACCAGACAGAAGTAGTATTCCGCAGAAGGTACGTACAACGTACTAGTACGTTTTAGGTGAAGTTGTGACCAGTGAACTACTCGATCCAGAAATTCAGGAACATAGGATACCGGCATCGGCGGCGAGTTCGTGCGGCGCGTTTGGTACGCATTTGTTTTTACATATATGGAGTATGCCTGATTGTTATTATATTCATTCAAGTTTTTTTTTACACAGACATCGTACCTAACAGTCTTTCATGGTCATGTGTGTAACGTGGATACACTATATTCTATTGAAAATGGGGCCGGAGAGGATTCGTGCGTTGTCGCGTTGAAGTCAAAGGATTGCATATCCATGTAGTAACGTGCGTTGCCATCTACTAGCAGGCGTATGTTTAGATTAGTACAACAACTAATTTGCGCCGTTAAAAACTGGTGAAATAAGCTGTCTTAATAGTGAGCGTTTCGGGGATCGGAGGCAGGTGGTCGACGAACGACTCACTTTCACGTCACGTGCTTGACAAGTTGGGCCTCTGATCCTGACTGTCTTTGTGGGCGGTCGGCTTCGGCAAATGGATGGGGATCGGATCCATTTCCTCACGGTGATGAAGCGGAAAGCGGCGGCATCGTTTTTGGCCGTAATTAGTACGGATTGCTGATACTCCGGCCACGTCAACGGCTACTTGTTAGGCGCCAATACGTGGGACGGCACGTCTCAGTAATCATGGCCACGTCAACGCATGCATCGCTGGACAGTTTGACTGTCTGAGCGCCTGGCCGCCTGGGTGATCTGACCGAGAGTGCAGACGGTGCCTGGAAATGAGAGCAAAACGCCGTCAGGCGCAGGTGCTTTTGGGCTCTTTTTTTTTTTATCGGTGCTTTTGGGCTTTTGGGAGAACGCACGTACTCGGTCTCGTTTAGAGCAAAACGCCGTCAGGCGCAGGTGTAAGATCTTCGCTTTTATTTTTTTTATAGGTTTTTGGGCTTTTGGGAGGAGCTTAAACGTCTCATCTCAGATCCTCCTTGCTTTGCTTTGGGATGAAGCCGCCAACAACTTCACATTTAATGCTTCACGATTTTACCGCAAACATTCGACGCGATAGGTTAAATGGATGAAGTAAATTTTTGAAAATTAGGGTGGAACTAAACAGGGCTCAGATCCTCCTTGCTTTGCTTTGGGACCGAAGCCGCCAACAACTTTTCAGGCGACTGGACTGACGACCAGGTCGGAGGTCTGGACATCCGCGACACCTACTGTAGACCGCTGGGCTACATTCTCCTCGAAAGAGAGAACACACACCGCGCAGTGCACAAACGGAAACGGGGCACCGGGCACGACACCGAAGCCACCCACCCACCCGGCACCCTGCCGTCCGCGACCTGCCCGTTGGGCGTTGGCCCCCGCCCCAGGGAACGCCACGACTTCTTCACCTCCAGCCGAGGCCGCCGGGGGACTACTATCAAAGAAAGACAATAACCACCCAGTTGGTCAAGGAAGCTGACGATGCTGGCGATGCTGGACCAAGGCACATCCAAGTGAAGAAGCTGGCGGTGCCTGGTGTTCGATCTGTGTCTTGTGCTGTTGTCTTTCTGTTAGTTCGTCTGGTCTCGCTAGCTAGTCCGTTCGGATCCTGTCGATTGTAAGGTGCTAGCTTAAACTCGTTCTGGCACGTTTCTGGCCATTTTCTGTTGCTTTTTCTGAAACTCTCTAAACGCTGTATTTCTGTTCCTATGGCAATGGAAATGGGTGATTTTTTCGCTTAATATATAACAGCTTCCAAAAACCGAGTGAAGCGGCCATAAAGGGCTGCCCCGCCACGGTTGCCTTATGGGAGGAGGCGAAGAAGCGAAATCATCCATCCCATCAAATCAATTCAAAAAGCAGAGCTTCAGTGTTTTTTCTTTACTTATAAACTGACTTATAAATCGATGAAAAACCTGCCAAACAGTGCCTAAATCTGTACGTTTTACGAGGAGCCGAACAGACCCGTGACGCGACGACTTCGCACTGTAAAGCACGTGGCAATCCGTCGCCCGCGCGACCCACACACACACCACACCGCCCCGCAACGGCACTCACGTCTCGGCGGACGGCGGCCCCGTCAGCGGCGCCTAAATTTAGCGGCCGCCAGCCAGCGGAGCCAGCCACCTGATCAAATCCACTCGCCTGCCTGCCGTTTCCCTCCCTCCCTCCCTTTCCACTGGTTGAACGGACGAAACCTCCCCTCTCTCTCCTGTCTTCTCCTCCGCGAAAATAGCGAGCAGGGAGGCAGGGCGCGAGGAGGGCCGCGGCCCGCGCGGTTATATCTACCACCGCACACGCGTCCGCCCGCCGTTCCCCTCGGCTCGGGCGCGGCTTCCCCTCTCCCCCCGCTCTGCCTCCCGCCCCATTTCCATTTCCCACGGCCATGGCCTCTTCGGTGGCCGCCATGCCCCACGAGTCCGCCTCATGGAGGGACCCCTCCCGCCCCACGCCGTCCAGGGGCTTCTTCAACATCCTCATCTCCTCCCCCGACGCCGCCGGAGCCGGCGGCTCGGCCTCGGCCTCCTCCTCCGCCAGCGAGCCCACGCCCAGGCGCCGCCGCCAAATCCTCGACCGCTGGGCGGCGGCCGCCGCCGCCGTCACGGCCAGCGCCGCGCCGGAGCCCGCCGACCAGCGCCGCCGCGCCAGGGACGCCGAGCTGTCCGAGCTCGCGTCCGCCACGCGCCCCGTCGCCGCGCGCGCCGCCGTCTTCCGGGAGCCGTCCCCGGCGCCCTCCGACGCCTCCTCCACGGCCGCCGCCGCCACCAGCGCGCCCTCCGAGCTCCCGCCCGCGGGGCCCCGGGCCTCGTCGCTCATCCAGCGCTGGCGCGAGATCGAGGCCGTCGGCCCCGCCACGCCGCGCCCCGGCACCGCCGCCGCCGACCCGGGAGGGGCCTCCGACTCCGACACCGGCTCCCCGCGCGGCCGCGTCGGATGCATCGTCAAGAAGCTCAGCGGGGCGTCGTCGCTGCCCGAGGAGGAGCTCGACGACGTCGCCAAGTCCGAGCTCTCGCTCTCGCAGTCCGCGCCCCCGTCGCCCGCGCCCATGCGCGATGCCTCGCAGTACCCGTACCCGTCCCCGTCGGGCGCGATCAACTGCCCCCGCCCGCCGCACCTTGTCGTCCGGACGGTGCGCGGCCGCCGCGCCATGGAGGAGCTCGTCGCCGCGATGGCGCACCGCCGGAGGCGCGAGGTCGCCGCGCTCGCCGAGAGGCACGCCGTGTCCCGATTCACGCACAAGGGCAGGATCCAGGTAACCTCGGCTTCTTGTCGCATTGTGCGGTTTGGATCATATTACCCATGTTAATCATCAACTCATGTACTTGTTACACTTATCAATCATCATCACTCGGATATTGTTCCGTTTCTCGATCCACAAATCCATGTTTTTCAAAGCGAGCCAAAATGGTGGGAGCTGTTCATTCTGACTCCCACACATGGCGTGGGATGAGAGTTTGGTGGATCGGTTTCTTCCCAACTGGCGTTGCTGATCAATGTCATGTGCGAAGTCCATTATCGTGCTTGCTTTGTTTCGACGGGTTCGATGACATGTCAGTACAAACCAAAATGAAATAAATTGAGGGCTAAATTTTTTACCGTTAAATATTTATTTTTCTTTCGAAGAAAAAAAATGCACCTAGTCTTATTTGCTTATTTATTTGATCAGTTGGGACTCTGATGCAACTATATAGAAAGTTCCACCAAAAGATCCTGAAATTGTTTGCAAATTGCAACTACATGGACGAACTTCACTTTCACACTTCACAGATCTGTTAGGTTGTCATTTTTGGACCAGAAGAAGAAAGGGAGTCAATTAAGAAGATGCAAACTTGACATAGTATTTTGCAAAAACACGTATGAAATGTAAGTGTGCATCTAAGACAGCAGTGATGGGCCAGTTTACAGGTTGTTACTCTGCTGGCAAATAACATCTCTCGTTTGTCTGGCTCTTCTGTTTCGTACACAAACTGACATGTTATGGAGATGTGGGTGCTGCACGGTTGTGGTCAAGAGGCCACATGACTTGACAGGTTCATTGCTGGTATATCATCTCATGTACCTGAGGCAAATAAATAGGAGTAATGTCTTGGTGGTTTGTTAAGGGCAAGTACCATGCAAATTTCAACAATCGTTAATGCCATTGTCTTTTAGGTTTGGTTTAGTTGTTACCGTACCTTCAGTCACTTGGAACCCCTTTGGTTATTCTTTACTCCAAGTCTTGCCAATAGTGATGTGCATAGTACTGGCACCTAGGAAAGCTGACCTGCTGTAAAAACACAGCACAGGTTCGTTGGCTTGTCTGCAGTAATATGGTGTGTTGCGGAAGTGTTGCCCGTTTTAGAAGCAGCCCTTGTTTGTGGAGAGTATTGTGCAAGTATTTTGATTGCTTGAGATTCATTTGCATATGCTGGGCACAAACAAACATAACAAAAACTAAGTTATTTCTGTGTCATTATTCTTTTCTCATGGACAAAAGTATTCTTTCTTTTCCTCATAAAGAATATTCTTTCCCCCGAGGCAAAGATTGGTTAAATCATAGTGCCCTATCGATGCTGTCGTCTTCTGATGGAGTAATTGTATAAATCTCCTCTCCTCATAGAGCATTGAATTTTTTTTCTTTTATGGGAGATACTGCACTTCCATTTTACCAGGCTGTGTAGTATTCAACTGTAGCTGATCCCAAGATGCTCTTTCACATCTTTGCAGTCCATGCTTCGCCTGAGATTGTTACGCCAGAGAGGTACAGTTGAGGATGAATTGTGGAGTCTACTAAAACCGGTTAAGCCACACCAACCAAAACATGTGGGCGAGTTGAGGTATTATCACATTCATGTCTACGAGTTGAGCTTCCAGGAAGTTTAGTGGACATGTAGACAGCTCGAGATTAGCTGATTTTATTTCTCCAATTAATGGGTGCAGGTATGATAGCAGGGACACAGACTTACGAGAAGCAAACAATTACAGTCAACAAAATAACGGGTAAATAATTACAGTGCATTGCTTGGGTAGAGCAAGTTATACTTAATTTGAAATATTTGTTGGTCTATGCCTTATTATTGCTAACCTATGCCTCTTGTAATTCTTCTTTTCAGCAAGTGCAGGCATGATGAACACTTTTGTAATGATAGAGTTCCAGCTGAGGAAAAGTCAATTGATGTATCCGTTGAAGGCCTTGTTGATGGTTCAGGAAATCTACAGTGTGATGAGAAGATGAAAACCAAGGGAGATACGTGTCAGAAAGATTGTAAAAACTTTTGTGTTCATAGTCAGAACTATTCTGAAGCATCAAGCTTTGCAAGGTACGGTGAGCACAGTACTATCGATGAGAATCAGTTTGTGGAAGATATCTCTCCAAGCACAACAAGCACGTTGCATGAACTAGAAACTCCATCATCTAGAGGAGATAATCTACGCGAAGAAGACAACCAAAGCATAAACGGTTCTTGGGAAGAGAGAGGATTATGGATAAGCAGCCTAGGTTGGCCTGCACCAATAGATACTATGAGTCTGGATAGCTGGCATCAGGATACAATGGGTGATATTGAGAACCATAATAATCAGATTCAATTCAATGATCGCCCCTGGATAGACTCCCCGAACTCGTGGAGATCACTATGTGTTGTCACGCAATCAGACTATCGTGCTTTGTCACACAATGCCGACATTTGCAACCTTCTTGAGAGGTAAATTGGTCCCAGTCTAACTGTTTTGCATATTGCTTTTGCAAAATCAGATGCATTTAATCACACATTATCCCCACATTTGTGATAGCAGTGGGATGCAAACGAGCCATTCTACTTTTGCTAGTTTGGTATTCATCTCAAAATTACCAGTTAGCATTAGTAGCTTTATTGTACGATAGCTAGTTTCTGAAGTTCAAACATCAAAATAATTTTGCCACCTTGTTAAAAAGGGTTACCATACAGTTCAAACAATTTTGCATGTGCTTGACTTATTTTTTACTGGCTTAACTGAATCAAGCCATGCTATCTCTTTCTTTTCCTGCAGCAAAAAGGTCTCAAAGTCTCTTGAGAGTGACTTTAGCAATAAAATGAACCAGCTGTTGCTAACAGTTCTGCAAAAACAAAGGCAACAACGGATGATGGATGACTTTGGAGGATACTATGATGAACGCATGTACTGGAGACAAAATGATGAAATTCATGATGCTGATAAGGAGGCATCTGCTCCATGTTCATTAGCTCCTGTCTCACATCTTGGAGCTCATCAGCAAGAGAGTTGGCAGCATTCTTCATTTGGAAGTCAACACCACGATAACCAAAATTTACTTGTAAGTGAGCTGCTGTTTAATGTCAGCTGTGGAAAGTTATATTCTTACTATATTCTCCATCTTAGGAAATGGAAGTCAGGGTAAGGGGTGAAATGTCCCAGATTCATCATGAAATATATGAACTGCGGAAGTTGGTGGAAAGTTGTATTGCATCCCAAGTAAAGATGCAGCACTCCATTAAAGAAGAGGTGTGCAGTGCACTTCGTGAGGCGGGTGAGTTGTGCCACATTTTTTTTAAGTTTGTGTTTTCTATATGCAACAAAGAAAAAAATAGCACTCTATTAAAGCAACCTAGTTTCCATATAGAAAGTAGGAACCGCTCCTATCTGTTTGCAAAAAGAAAGAAATGTATAATATGATAACTATCCCACAGAGCCTCAGTCTCAGTGTGAAATGTTACATTTGGCTTTCTAGGCCACACTCTGCTCTTTTTCTGAGCTGTCAGGGCAAGTAAGCTAGGTTGCCTTAGAAGTCCAGTCAGCTGAGGTCTCAAGAAAGAAGGGTATAGCTATTTTTGGGGAGGCAATAGTGGGAAGGAGTTGTTCAGTCTTTGAAGCAAGCCATAGAAGTCCAGTCAGCTGAGGTCTCAAGAAAGAAGGGTATAGCTATGTTTGGGGAGGCAATAGTGGGAAGGAGTTGTTCTAGTCTTTGAAGCAAGACTATGTGCTGCAGTCTTGTTGCTTAGATCTTGGCCTGGACCAGCCTACTGCTGCATATCTTCAATGCTTTGTATGGTACTTTTGGTCCACTTTGATGAATTAACTGATTGTGTAATGAAGTCTATGAACTACCATATGAACTTCGTTTGGTTATCTTTCTAGTGCCCCACCGTCCATTACTACCATCTTGACTGTATTTTATTTGTAATCATTGATGCGCATCTTCATGCTTTTTTCTGTTGCCATTTCTTGAACAGGTTTGATGCCAAGCCAACCCGACACAACAGCAGCAAAAAGGGGTAATTGCTGCATCTGCCATCGAATGCAAGTTGACTCTCTACTTTACAGGTAATGATTTGCAGGGATAGATCATGTCGTACTTCGAGTAACTTTAATCAAGAAGTCATATCTTATTCTTGTTATGATTCGTAACATCTTTATCCACAATAATCTCAGACCTAATAATAGTATGAAGTGCATAAACTGGTGTGGGGTAAGTGCTTCTAATCATGTTCCTTATAATGCATCAGGTGTGGACATGTGTGCACCTGTTTTGACTGTGCCGATCAGCTGAAATCGAGCGGCAGGAGTTGCCCAATCTGTCAATCTCCTATTGATGATGTTGTTCGGGCGCAGCTGAATTTTTGAGCTTAGGATTTAGGAAAGGCCAAGAGAAAAGAGCCGGCACTCCCAGATTTAGATGTGGAGTTTGCGAAGCCCTGGTTTTGAGGAGGCTTCTTACCTTTTGATAACCACTACTAAAGATATACGAGCTAGTTCTTGGAGAAATGTAAATATGTTTTTTTGCTCAAGAGCGGTGTGCTTGTATTTCCCTAAAGGAAAAAAGAGTTCTAATCAAAATGCTAATCCTGTTTCTGATGATTCTTGGTTGTATTCTGTATGTACCACAGTATTTGTTCAGAGGATTAAACTCACGGACTTGCTACTCTTCAACGCCCTGTTCGTTTGGCTTATAAGTCGTACTTTTTCAGCTAATGAACAGTATTTTTCTCAAACAACAAATCAACCAATATTATTTTCAGCCATGGCTTATCAGCCAAGCGAACAGAAAGCCTATTTGAACAAACCCAGTGCCAGCCCAATCTGCCTCGGTGGACTGGCATTTAGTTTAAATAAATACGAAGCTTTGAATTCAGCTCTAGCATGCAGGAATAGCAACTACTTCAAACGTTTTGAAAAGTTTGAATGAACATGGAATCGCTGGACAAACAGAGTTGGGCTTCAAAAGCTAATGCCGCCCGCGATGCCGTTAATGCACAGTTGTACTCAGAGCTAGTACACGGGGTTGTCCGCACTGAAATTCTCTCTGCCACCTACAGCTGCAAGATGCTTCGTCGACGGCGAGGACTTTTACGGCGACCTCGACTTCAAGGAGACCCGAACCTGAGCATTCGATATCCTGCCGGACGCGTCCATGGACACCTTCCCCAACGACGGGCGCCGCGGCTCCCAGCCGGCGCCAGCTTCCAACCTCCGCTTGAGCACGCTCTTCCGTATGCCGTCGCTGTCGAACAAGAACGCGGCGCACACCGGCAGGTCGGCATCGTCTTCCGCGTCGCAGCCCAGGATCAGCTCCAGCGGCAGGTCGAAGTAGGACGACGCCGAGGGGTCGTCGCCGTCGTCGAGGCCCAGGCCTCGCGGGGACGATGACGTCGACAGGGCGCCGCAGTCGAAGCGCTCGAGCGACACGGCCAGCGACATGGTGCTTGGTCGAGCCGAGCACGTGCCTGGGTCGACGGGCTGCAGCTGCACGCTGGCGGTTTTGCCGAACGTGCCCGATGACGAAGAGCGCGCCGCCGCCGTTGCTGTTGCCGTGGACGTCGGAGGTTTGATGATCCTCCTGGTGAGCCCAGGGACGAACATGCAGCACGTGAACGGCGCTTTGCCGGCGTGCTTCGCCTGCTTGCCCCGGGCGTCCTTGGTGGCGTAGCCGCCGAAGGAGTACTCCTCGGCGTCCGCAGCAGCGATCAGCGGGACGTCGCTGCCCAAGCGCTGCGGCTCTCTGGCCTTGTTCCGCTCCGTCGACGACAGGGGAACGTCGAACCCGGCGTCCGCTAGCTCCGTCTCCCCGCCGGCGGACAGCTTGCTCCTTAGCAGCGCCCCGGAGTGCGCGATCGCGATCGGGCGCGCGCCGTCCCACCCGGTTGGCGCGGTGGGAGCCTTCAGATCGCCGGCGGTTGACGCGCGCGGGGACGGGGACGATGACGCGGAGCCGACCGGAGAAACGCTCGCGCCGTGGAACCGGGCCGGCGACACGCGGCGGTCGTCCACCGAGACGGCGGGGATGGGCAACGGCCGATCGATGTCGACGCGGGAGAACTGCCGGAGCGAGAAGGGGTCGACGGCCACGTCCCTCACCCCCGGCTCCTCCGGGCGCCGTGGCCGTTGCCACTGGAAGGCCGCCTCTTCCCACGACGCTTCGCAAGTGGAGTCCCTCGCCATGGTTGAGACTTCGCGCGTGCTGCGGTGGCGAGAGGAGGAGTGATCGGAGATTCGGAGCTTAATTAGTCCTCGGCCAATGGCGATCAGGTAGGCCCCCGTTCGGCTCGCTGAAAGTTGGCTGAATTGGCTGAAAAACACTGTCCTGATTGAATTGTTGTGAGAGAAAAATATTGTTTTCGACTAAAAAAATAAGCTAAATAATGGATTATAAGGTAAACCGAACGAAGCAGCGGAGTGGTGGATGGCACGCATGCGCGTTAGTGGTGGCGGCGTTCGTGCCCACTCGGCCACTCCTGCCATGGCGCGCAGTATTCAATTCCTGGTGCTGGCGTCATCACCACGCTGGAATCATTGGGCCGAAATTGGGGAAGCAGGGACATTCTCGGCACGACTTATGGCCTTATATGGGCCTGCGAACAGAGAGGCTGTCCTATCCCTAAAAAAAAAGTAATAATAACTAAATAAACATTTGAAGCCTTTCTGAACATCCAAAAAATAAAAACTACTAGTATGCCGGCAGCATCGCGCTAAAAGCTCTCGAGGGTGTTTGTTCCATATTTGTCTTATTGCAATATTGTCCCTTAACAAACTTGTACATTTGTCATTTGTGTGTGCTTTAAAAAGCCTCGAAATTTCGTAGATATGCGCTGTAAGTTTTATTGCTAAAGTTCAGGAAAAAAAAACCCTGTGTTTTTCTTCTTCATTTCTTGGCAAAAGCGGGGAAACCAGAGAAGAAACCCGATAGAATCTCACGTTCTCACACTACGACAGCAGGAAACAGATGACATGAAGTTGCTGCTTGACTACGCATCAATCGACTGATTTCTGTTTGTGTTACAGCCGATTTTTTCCAACCAGTCAGAACAGGACACGTGCACATGGAACCAAAAGTGACGACTCAAGATTCGACTGATTACTGTTTGTGTTTCTGTCATTTTTTTTTCAACCACTCAAAACAGGACACGTACACATGGAACCAATCAGTACGAACAACACAAAAAACAGAAAAATACAAATGATTTTTCTGATCGGCGAAAGACAATTTCTGAAAAAAACTGAAGCCAACTAAAAAGTGTCATTCAACCTAGCTCCCAGGTTTTGATCTCATTCTCCACTAAAGACCTATCTTCGGGAGATCCGATCACGCCAGGAGGCGGCACCATGCACTTTGGCTTGTTCTTCAGTTCTGCATGCAGGGGTGTTGTTGCTTGGTCTTTGAATGAAGCTAGCTGAGTGTCTATGTCATTGACACTATTGGCTTGTTCTTCACCAGCATTTACTTACTTTCAGCTTGTCCGCTTGTTGGTTTCAGCCAGAGCTTATTAGTCAGCCAACAGTGTTTTTCTCTCATAACAAACCAGCATTAGCCGGGCTTATCAGCCTAGAAACCAACCAGCGAACAGACCGTTTGTTTCTTTCATTCATCCTACCACGCCTAAGGAAGGTGTGGTCAAGATGTGCTGTATTACTCTGGATGAAGCCGAGTATTCCAGAGAAACGAAGCAGCCGTTGCGTTGGAATGTCTTCCAAATTCATCGATCAGCTGCCAACGGCTCTTGACAAATTTTCACTTGGTCAAGAAGCAGTGGCCCCCATCCTCTGGATCTCCGAATGCAGTTCAGGTGCCTGAGATAATCGGAAGCAAATGTCACTAGAATGATACACACATGCATTATCGCTAACCACCTATAACAGCATGATTGAACATGCTGTAGAGGAGAGTCCCCAGTAGAGGACTCATGACAGCATGCAGAGCAGCATCCCCCTCCCCCCGAGTCGTCCTTTGAACATGCTGTAGAGGAGAGTCCCCAGTAGAGGACTCATGACAGCATGCAGAGCAGCATCCCCCTCCCCCCGAGCGTCCTCAAAAGGACGACTCGGGGGCGACCTCGCCGCCGTCCAAGCCCCCCACCCACCCTCCTCCCGGCCTCCCCTTTGGCCGCCGTCGCTGCCCACTAGCGCACGGTGGCGGCGGCCAGCGGCGGTCCCAAAAAAAGGTGCTCTGTTCGCACCTCCCTCTCCCTCACCCTCGCTCCTTTACCTCCCCCCCTCTCCACCTCCGGCGGGGAGCGGCGGTGGCCGGCCGGATCCGCCCCGCTGGGGCCGGATCTGGCGCACCGGTGGTCGGCTCTCCTCCTTCGGTGATGGGAAGTGGCCGGGTTAGCCTGCTCCGGCTGCCGGGCCGGGTGGCTGCTAGGCGGCGGTCGCCGCTACACCCTCTCCATCTCCGGCGGTTTGCGGTGGTGGCTGGCCGGATCCGCCCCCCTAGGGCTAGATCTGGCACACCGGCGGTCGGATCTTTCTCGGCGGCGGGCTGAGGCAAGGTTGGCCTCACCTACGGCGTCGACCAACGGCGGATGGCCGGATCTCAGGCCCCCTGGACAACATCCGCCATCTAGAGGTGTCCTGGACCCTCGACGGCGGGCGACGGCCAACTTGCCGAGTGGCCAGGGGGTCGATGGCCGGATCTGCTCCTCTACGGCAGCTGCTCTTGGCTGGGCCGACCTGCTCCCCTTCGGCGACTGCTGGGGCCGGCCTGACTCCGGTGGCTGACGGAGCTATGTGGGTGCGCGGGATTTCTGACGGCGGATGGCCGGATTCGAGCCTCCTGGGACCGGATCTGCCGTCCTGGTCTATCATGCGCCCCTCCTCGGCGGCGGCCGGCGGCGTGGGCCGCTTGGGGTGAAAAAAACCCCGCCAGGGTTCTTGCCTTGGGCCAATGACGGTGGCGCGCTAGCGTCATCACCTTTTTGGAGGCATCGTCAAATGCTTAGTTTGCCGTTGTGGGTTGATGGGGCAAGTTTGGGGATAAAAGTCTCTTGTGGGTGCTCCTCCCAACGAAGTTGGCGTCCGCGGATGTCATCACCTTCTTGAAGGCTTCGTTGGTGCACTCCGCTCCATCCTATCGCGCCGTCCTTCCGTCGGAGCCGCTCCTTGTTTGCGCTGTGCTGCTGCTGTGCTTCAGCTTCCTCCTCGCTTTGGTCTGTCCACCTCGGGTGTTGGTGTCGCCACAGTCTTCTTCTTCTTCACAGCGGCTACCTGGTCGCTAGTGGATACGTCGTCTTCTTCGTAGCGGCTACCTGGTCGCTGGCGGTCTTCTTCGCATCGGCTACCTGGTCGCTGGCGGACTTTGTCGCTTTCCTCTTCTGTCGATGAAATATGGTCGACAGTCTACCGAGGGTTATACCCATGGTAGTAGAAGATCGGTGGAGGTGCGCGTAATAGGAACAGGATGGTGACACAAGGCACAGAGACAACGATTTAGACATGTTCGGGCCATCTAATCGACGTAATACACTACGTCATGTGTCTTTGTTGGATTGTATTGAATATGAGCTAAATTCGAGGTGGGTCCCTACCCGCCTTATATAGTCTGGGGGTAGGATTACGAGTCGGTTTAGGCCTAGATCTATTCGGTTATATGGTAAGTATTTACAAGGAATACAATATCTATCACATCCAAAAAAGATCTTCCTTCATCGCTAAGATGTCTTCTGATTGCCTTGTGGTGCACGCCGACCAGAACTGGGCAACGTAGGCCTTGATCTTATGGGTTGGACCTCCCCTAGTGGTGCGGCCCATGTCCATTGCCGTGGGTACCTGGGGTTATACCCCCCACATCTTCGCAATGGCTACCTGGTCGCTTGCGGATAGATGCTGAGCTCTCCGCAGCGGCTACCGGTACTTTTGCGGATGGATGCTGAGCTTTTTATTGGTGGATGCTTTGCCACCATGGCGTCACCCACCCTCTGTTGGCGACTATTGCGCGGATGTATCTTTCTTTGTCAGGTATAGTTGGTTGGTGTTTTGTGGTGGAGGTCCCCCGCATTATACCCCTACAGCTAGTCACCGAGTACCTTGAATCTGCTGAGCAATGCCGTCGTGAGCAAGTCCGAGCAGTTTAACTTGGAGTCAGCCAGCAAATCTAGCAATCCGACCAGTTTATCTAGTAATCCAATCAACAAAACGAAGTGCCAACCAATTTAACCAATAATTTGATCGGTTTAACTAGTAATCCAATCAACAGAAGGAAGTGTCGACCAGTTTAACTGGTAATCCACCGGTGGAAATTGAAGCCAGCCAATTTACTAGGTGACCTGATCTCGGACTTAGTCAAGTAAGGCTTGCTAGAATGATATAAGGAGCTTAAGTTTATAATTTAAAAATTCTCCACCTTAGGTGAAGTATACACACTTAGACTTCGTTGGCGAAGTTAGATGATCATCATCCATGACTTATGCAAAGAGGATATTAGTACTGATATATGCGCCGTAAGATGCAATATATACATTATAGTCCCCGAGCCTAACAGTAGGTGAAGAATGCCCCTGGTGTTAGGATCAAAGAATATAAGCTATTGAAAAAGAAAAATGAGAACTTAGCCAACCATTAAATTTGATACAAGCACTGCTAAGTGCAATGTATACATTGTAGTTCTCGAGCCTGACAGTAGGTGAAGAAGACACCTGGTGTCAGGATCAAAGAATTTCAACGATCACTTAGTCAAAACAACCAATTCTCAGCTTAGCCGAGCACACAGCTAGTCCCCAGCTTAGCTAAAAAACCAGTAAGAAAAAATAGTACATTCACCGCAAGGTGAAGTGTACACACTTAGTCCTCGAGCCTGCTGTAAGATAGAAAATATCTTGTGCAGGATCAAAGAATTAAGTGTAAAGGACAAAGTCCCCGCACTTAGCACTGGATATCTGGAGTAAAACTTGATAATATTGAGCAGTAAAACATGGAGAAAATGGAAAGTGCTTAGCACTGGATTGCTGTGATAGATATACCTATCAAAGTCCCTGATGTGCTACCCAAGATCAGCACCCTAATCTAGACAGCATGGAAAACCTTGATATCACACATGACATGCAACATCGGCAAAATGTTGTAAGCCAACAAGCGAATCGGCAGACAAAGTCCCCAGCTTAGCTGGCGAGTCCCCGGCGGAACTAACGATGAAGCGATAGACAATCCGACCAGTTGGTTGGCGAAGAATC